CCCATTGAACAATGATGAAGTTGATGGAGCGGATGGCCTTCAACGCATTGAGCGTCACCGTTCCCTTCTGGAAATGAACCAGGAAAAGGCAATCCGGGTACGTTTTCACGTTTTCGTCTCTCCTCGTCATCCGGAAGACTGCGATTGGGGCTAGCTTGTAACGGTCCTTAAGTTCTTCTTCGATCGACTTGGGGTTGAAGTTCGGTAAGCCCCTGATGACTACCTTGAAGGGCTTCTCACCGGGGATGTCATGTGTGAAGTATTCCGCCCTGGAATCCTTCAGGTACTTCACGGTTGCTTCGTACTCCGCTTTGGTACGCAGCATCACCTTGGTGCCGATCCTGCTCAGCTTGAATTCAGCTGCAACGCCCAGCGATGTGAGATCGCTAATGAGCGTGTTGAGTGGCACTTTCATCACCACCAGTGGAGGAAGCTTGACTTTTGCCGTACTCGGGACGGCAGAATTTTCATGCTCGACGGTACCGCCGAATTCACCGATGTCGCTGACGTTCGTCATGGTGTCACGGCCACTCGCACCATCGGACTGGCCCTGATTCTTCTTCCTTTTCTTCGTCCGCTTCACTTCCGCTGGTAGGGCATTCCCAACATCGGTGGGAAGAGTAGCGTACCTATTTGTGATAGGTACGCACGAGCTACCTTCACCACTATTCTCCACTTTCTCACGGAGCTTGCTCCGGGAGCGCTGCCTTCCCATCACACGATGCAACCGGCACTACGACACGAACAAACGCGCAACTCGAACAACTCGACTGAGCGAGCCAAAACCGGACTAAACTGCTTGACTACTACACTATTCGAGCCTCAGTTGGAACCATAAATGTACATCAACTGGACTGAATGAGTGAAGTGCAAACGATCGACTCTGATGTTGAGATGATGAGCAGAGGCATGAGAGCAGCGCTGATTTATATCTTTTCAGGTTCAAGCAGAATGATGTGCAACCAAGTGGTATTCGTTTATGATGACTGGGTTTGGGAAAAAGGCTTATTGCATGAAATCAGTGATAAAATTATCATTTGTACATTTTCAATAGTTTAAATGCAGAAAAATTGGAAAAATATTTATTTCAACAGGTTCGTAATCGATTGGCGTATTTGGATTTTAATTTTTATCTATACCGTGCGGGACCGAAATCCGTACACCTAAGCACGAGAGAATCATTAACGGTCAATACTAAATAATGCTATCACATTATGCTCTGTATCACATCTTTTTCCTTTACATTTATCTTTATTTTTCCAATATTTGCAAACACCAGGTCTTAAAATTACCTTCAATTATTAGAAAAAAGGATTTAAATTGCACATATCTTGAATCAAAATCCGTACAGCGTTTTACGATTGAATCAAAATCCGTACAGTTTTGAATCGAAATCCGTACACTGTGTTGAGGATGAATCAAAATCCGTACAGTCATGAATCAAAATCCGTACATGAATGTAAATCGATCCAAATCAATGAAAAAAAAAAACGTGTTGCTATCTTGAATAAAGTATTTTTTTTTGTAGTTGCTTGGCTAAGAGTGCAAAACAGCTATATTCGTTTAAATACACTAGTTTACAGCATATTTGAACTTTGTATGCTGATGGTCATTTCCCATGTAAAATCATGCGCTGAATCCAAAAATGTAGTCCAAATCTCAGTATGATAGTTTTGGAGATATAGGGGTAAGAGAGGCATAGTGAACAGGTGGGGCATAGTGGGAAAGTTTACCCATCCGGGATAAAGTTCGTTCATGGTATTCGTTTATTAGGGAACTTTCTTTGCTCTTCTTCCTTTTCTTCCTCCTCTTCCTCTCTCGCTCAACCTTTTTCTTTTGTCGTTCCTCAATCCTTTGTTTCTTTGCGTTCTCTTTATCAATTTTCGCCCGCACTACTTTCATGTGTATTTCCGGTCATTCCTCGCTGGTAGCTGGGAATGCTCTCTGGCCCATTTCTGTCTGCTCTCTGTTAATTTGTATATGCGTGTTGGTGATATCCTGTAGGGGAGCTGCGTTGTTTTACTTTTCGGCTGGTTCTTGACGCTCTTCATTAAAAGATATTAATAATATAACGTTTACAATACGAATAAAATAAAAGAGTAGCGATTCACTACGGCATCTCTTATGGTGGTGAATTGAACGGCAAAATCCCTGGATGCTTCTCGGTAAGATTTCTCCGCACGCATCATTGCCACAGTCTTCTCCAAATCCTCCATGATCTCCAAATGTTTCCATGATCTGCTGAAAAACATTGGATAAAGTAGAATCGTCATTAGTGATGCACAAGTGTACGGATTTAGAATCAGCTGTTATATATGGATCGAAATCCGTACAGTACTAATTTTGATAAATAAATACCACATGAACGATCCATTGCTTAGAATTAAGATATAAAACGATAAACACTTACCTTTCCGATCGACCTTCAGGAAACTACTTGCAAAAATCACTTAAATACGCTTAACAACTGGAAGTAAATCCGAAACATTTTCTTAGAAAATCGTTAAGAACGCAACCGATTGACAGAAATGCCCGACACGTGATAAGGTTTTTATTTTTCTTATTTTAATTGCATGTTATACTGCTTAATTGTTGAAGTTAACATCAAGATGATGCATGAATGAACATGAATATGTATTCATGTATAATATTTACATTGTTATGATGCATATAAATAAACAAATTCAACAGGGTGTACGGATTTCGGTGCTGTACGGATTTCGGTCCCGCACGGTAAATGACAAAGTTACAAGCGTTCAAAACCTAACACTCCTTCACCACACATATTTTTTGATTTGCACCCCAGTATAGTCGACAAAGACGTAGTTCTACGTCAAAAAATGCTTGCCTTCGAAATTTATTTATGGGCCCAATATTAGGGACACTTAGGCTGACATTAGGGACATTAACCCTATTAACCCAATTCCATGTGAAAAACTTTTCCGTTGCCCTAAAAAAATTAAATTCTACTACCGGCTCGAGACTAAAACAAAACAAAAATTAAAATAAAACAAACCGTTTCATTTTTCGTGCTACTAATGCTAACAAACTTAGTTAAAATGTTGTTTTAAATTTTATTCTAACAAATTGTGTAACAATTTTGTATCACATACCATGATGATTCTTTATTCCTCATTTCACCACAGAGCTCTTAAAACAAGATTATATCAACGGTTATTATGTATAACAGAAGTTGATATAATCATGATATAATTTTGTTATACCGTTCTGGTCGGGTTTAGCCGTCGATTTTTCACGAAAAAATAGCTCTCTTATAACAACTAATGACACCAACACCTAGAGAAATGTTTCTTCTACCAGCTAGGGGTGTACTTTTATTTGCGAGAAATCGACGGCTTAAGCCAATGTTTGCAAAAGCAATTACGCCCCTTTGAAATGTTGGCATTGATTTTTCAAACTTTTATTCTAATTTCTTGTTACCTACATCTAATTTCAAGATAATTTAAATTAATTGTTGGTTGTTTTTATAATTACTTTTCTTTTTGTTCCTTACTCATGATTCTATTACATAATATTTTGAAACTTAGATCCGGTGTGGCACACAACTGTGTCCGCACTCAGTACCATAGGTCCATTTTGAACCGTTCAGGAAAGTCGACATTATATTGGTGGTGCACAGCTACGCGAGAGGGCAGCAAGTAGCGTCATCACATGTATTCTGCTGTTGTATAAGCAGGTCTGAGTCATGAAATCTTATTATTTTATTTATTGGATTTCACAAAACAAGTTGTGCAAATGATGATACATTTATTAAATCCATTTTTTCATTTAGGTTTTCAACCAGGCTGCATGTATATTTTCTCTTAATTTTCATTGTTCCAGGTATCTCATTTTCAGTAAATACTACAAACAATTGGATCATGGGTGGAAAAAACGATCCTTAAATGCTCGATGTAAAAACGCATTGGTTAGATCTTAGTCAAGTGATTATAGCCTTCAATTGAGTTATCAAATTAAGATCTGAATTAATCCTAAATGTTCTTAGTAATTTTCAAAGGCAAAACAATGCATGAGCAAACAAAGCCCTGGAGAGCTGGGCTGAACGCTGCTTTATTCCATGATACAGTAAATGGGTGATCAGGAACTTCAGTTATTCCCTGAAGATGATAGGATTGCATTCCCAAGTAAACTTATTTGATCGAACTCGTTTGTGATCATCAATCTAATTATAAGCCAAGCATGCGTTGTTACATGATACCTAAATTATTTAAAAAAGCTGTAGTCTATCCGTCTTAATTGCAGAACTATGCGATAATACATCTTTAGTGAATATTAATCCAGCAATAAAATTTTGTGGGCATATAGAATTCAGAAAAACGACTAAAAAATAACGATCAAAAATATCCATTAGTACCGTCCCAATGACGCGTTCATCTAGATAAAATTGATAAATAGCAGATTTTAAGCGATGGGCCCAATCTTCGATCCATAGGCCAACATTAGAGCCATTTTCCCTAGGTTATTGTATTTTTTTACTATTGAAATATTCGTTTCTCATAATTTGCATTCCCCTAAACATTTCGTATACATTAAATATTACATGATCATCCATAAATTTATTCTGTACATACATACAAATAAATACTGGGACGGTAGGGAGCATCAGGGCATCATTGAAGTTGTAGCTGGACAATGGAGTGGAGTGCCAGGCGGAGTCTAGGAGAGAATGTGTACTGTCATTTAAGATAGTTGCATTTCACTCCGACAGTTGCAATTAATTTGACGTGTTAACATGTATTGCGAATTTCATTATTCGTTCTGTTGGATCATAATGTTGGAAGGAGATTCTCTTCCCGCAATTTTCGCTTAAGTGTCTCTGTTTACGGGCCCGTCCTACCCCTTTTGACCTTTCATACAGTAGTATGTTGAATTCAGAATGATGACGAAATTTGATCTTGCTGTTGAGTGAAGCCACATGCAGGGTAAGACCCAAACTAGCTACTTACATACATACGTGCATTATGGATTTTTTCACAAAGATCATAGAAGATAATCAGCTTCTTAATGTTTCGGTCAACTTATGCGTTTATTAATTACTAAGTTTATTATATAGAATATTCGAAACATCACTCATTTTCAAAACTTGTCCCTAACAAATGTATTTAATAAATATTCACTCATCTGACTTGGCTGGTTCTTCGACATCGGTCTGACCTTCACCATCGTCGGTCTTTTCTCCTTCATCGTCCTGACCATCTTCATGCTGCTGCTGATGATGGTGGTGACAATTCTCGTCTTGTCCTTCCTGGTTTTCATCACCCTCGTCAGCTTCATCCTTGTCCCCTTCTTCCGGGGCTTTTTCCTCCGGTTTCTCCTCATCAGTTCCACTTTCCGAATCTTCCGATGGCTTTTCCTCATCGGAAGGGGTTGGCTCTTGCTCCTGAGCGTGTCGCTTCTCTATTCCTCGCTGCTGGCTGGGAGCTACAAACAATTACATGCATTTAGTGTCTGAGCTAGGCGTTTACAATGTAACGATTCTCACCTGCAAAAGCAACCTCCATCAAGCAGCAAGCTGCCAGGATCACGAAAACTGCGACTATCTTCATTTTGATTGAAATTATTCGTTTGTATAGGACACTTGTATTGCTTTCAGAACTGTTCTCGAGTGAAAGATCTGCTCGAATGATACTTTCCTCTAACGGACGGCTGAGTTTTATACGTTGATACAACATTGTGAAGCACCGATTAACCTATGTCTAGTGCGAAATTGTCTAATTTCCGTCTGAAAAACACCCCTCTAATGCAGTATTGTTTGCGCCGCAGTCGGTGCTTCTCGGGAAGTACCCACTAAAAATGAATAGCTTCGTCACAGTGTTCAACGAAACACTATCACCGAACGTCTCGTCCCGATCTGTAGACATAACTGTGGAGCAGCTAGCGCCAGTGCTGACCGGCACGAGCCAAACTTTTTTAATCTCCCGTCTTAATCGCTACAAGTGTTTACTAAGAACTTAATCATACATATTGTTGCTTCTTCCCTTTCCCTCGACAGATGTACGCCATCACTTGGCACACGAATCTGGTGCAGCGGTTGGGTGAACAGGAGGTGCTGATCCTGCTGGTATCCTGCATCTGCCACGACCTGGACCATCCCGGCTATAACAACATCTACCAGATCAACGCCAGGACCGAGCTCGCTCTGAGGTAAGATTCAAAATTTGAGGACAGCGAATGAAACATAGTTGGTGCACTCTCTCGACATGCACGCCTTCACAGAAAGGCAAGAGGAGTTTTTTTTTGAGTCGTAGATCAAAGAGCAAATCCAGCAATTTCGTTTGCTCCCGTTCCTTGGATTTCACGGTTAGGGTTTCGCCTGGCATCAGCACGGCCTATGCTTCGGCTTTGAATTTTCGGCGAAGTGGGAAAATACCACGTACCATGTAAGCGATTTGTTTTCGGGGGCTCAAAGGTCATATTGCCAGTATGGTGTGGACCGTCGTCGTTGGTTGAAAAGTCAGCGAAAAAGTCGAATTCTTAGATGAAAGGACATCAATCCGTTCTGGGTCGGATCCGGATGGAAGAGTCTGAGCTGAAACAGTTCGTGCGTCACGTTGTCATGGGTGCTTCATTAGTATCAAATGGCACGTGTGAAAAGCTGAGCCGCAAATTGAGACGCACTTATTAATGGAGTTCATCGAGCTGGAGCCAATCGGGTCGCGGTGAGGTCACGGGTTACAGGTTCAGGGGATTATTAATGGTGGTGTTGGATTATTTGAGAGCCTTCGTGGAATAGAGGGAAAAATTTGATGACGGTACCTTTGACTTTTTTCGACAAGAATGGGGTATCATTTGTCATTATTATTTATCGCATTTTAAAATTTTCGCTGGATATAAAGATATATAGATTTTAACCTTTCATCCCCCATAGAACCTTTAATCGATCAGATTCTCGGATCCGTTGGACTAAATTAGGAATTTATTAAACCCTGAGAAGACGCTTGCGGCTCGAGTCTATCATAGTCCATAAATTATCGTTGAATATCCTAAACTACTCCACCCGGATTCAACGACTATTCCACACAATAGAAAACTTCAAGCCAGAACTATCCAGCCGAAAGCCGTTACACGCCGCTGATAAACTGTTCATAATTGCCACCCACAATTAGCCTCCACCTTACAGCTCAATTCGGTTTTATGCTCCATTAATCTTCTCGTCGTTCAATTTGGTGCATAAATTTACAACCTCAACTACTGCCGGTCAATTTCACGATAAGGGAAGACCGGCGTGCCGTATAAAATATCGTTCTCTGATTGTGGTCCAATGCTGACACAGTGGTTTTATTGCTCCCCATTTATCATTTATTCGCTCACTCACTCGGGGAAAACTAGCGCAACGAGACACAATAATTCATAATAGCACTCATAACATAAAAAAATAAAAACCCATATCGTCATGTTGCAATCAACCCGAATTAGGGTCATCCAACCATCCTTGCGCCTCCTTCCCAACCGATCCCGGGCTCGCTTTACTGATTAATGGTTCCATATTTTTCTTGCTCTCTATTTTCAGATACAATGACATTTCTCCCCTGGAGAATCACCACTGTTCGATTGCATTTCGCCTGCTGGAGCATCCGGATTGTAACATTTTCCGCAACATGAACAAGGACCTGTACAAGTAGGTTCATTTGCTACGTCCTATTTTCGGGTCACTTAATTTTAATTTATTTATTTATTTCGGCAAAATATTCCAACGATATTCAAGGCTTGAAAAAACTTTAAATTAACTCCCACGTCATCAGGCAGCTCTAATCAGGATGGGGGGAGGGGGCTACTTTTCATCTCACCTCGAGAAAGTTGAAGCCCAGCTGCAATTAATGTCTAAATCAGCCGTCGTATGCCTTTCCATGGCCTTGTACAGAGATTGGCGCCAGCGAGAAAAAGCAACCGCAGAAGCGAGGCATTGTTAATAACCAACTAATTATGGCAGAGTTTATTAAAACATTTTTTTTTTAATGAAGCTGGGTTCAAGTTTAGCGGGAAGATATTTAATAGTTTTATGGTGGCCATCGCTGCTGATTTTAATAAACCGAACCAACTTAATCAGCTTGTGATTAAGTTGTTTTCGTAGCGTCATCCAGCGATGAGTCTTTGGTGTCTTATTTACTGCATCTCGTCGGTCGCTGCATGAACTGCAGCTAATGGCAGTAAGCACCTGTGATTGGGCTGGGTGTAGTTAGTTGTTTGCATACTAGCGCCACTTGAATAATGGCAATTAAGGCTGACTAAGAGTAAATTGGTACGCTCAAAAAGATCTATAGTTCGTGATTCAATAATTTTAAAAAGTCCATTAATGGTTGCTTTACAGCACTTTTATTAGAACTTCAAAGTTACAGCATTATATGGTTACATTTCTCCAGTTCGAACGAAATCTCGAACCTTCCTCTTGATGGAGCCCATCAGCGCCCGCACAGTGGAAACGGACACAGAATCAGCTCATTTTTTCCATTTTGCCCGCATTGCACGGAGGGGTATTTGTTCTACGCTAGCTGGCCAAAAGTCGATTTCTCAAAATAAGCCAAAACAGATTCTGAATGCATGCATTGTTTACTTCAGAGATAGGGTAACAATGCCCTGTACTCATTATTTCTTTTTCTTAACTGACCGCGTTGTGCCATCAGTTCAAACTTGCCTGTTGTTGAATCGTGTTGGTTTGTTAGAAAAAATCGTTCCGCAGTGCCATTGTTTTCGTGTCTCTACTTGTTGTTGGGATTATCAAATTAATTTACAAAAATGGATAGTGATCAACGAGGTATTGAAGTATGTAGGTAATAAATGGGGACTGAAACCTAAAATGATCGATTGGATCTATAAGGCTATAATAAGACCCAGAATAACATATGCATCATTAGTTTGGTGGCCAAAAACAAAAGTTAAATATGCTCAAAAAAACTCGAAAAGTTGCAAAGACTTGCTACAATTTCCATCACAGGAGCAATTCGTAGCACGCCCTCTAAAGCGCTAGATACAATGCTAAATCTGCTTCCCTTACATATATTTGTGCAGTTAGAAGCCGAAAGAAACGCACTAAGGTTAAAAAGAACAAAACAGTTTTTTGTTGGGGACCTTAGGGGTCATCTCAGTATTTTGAAGGAATTTAAAATTAATTCTTTATTAACTCATGAAGACTGGATGAATAGACAGTATAACTTTGAAAGACTATTCAACGTCACTGAACCTAGTCGCACTGAATGGGAATCAGGGGGACCTAGTATTCAACCAGGATCAGTAATTTTCTACACTGATGGCTCCAAATTAAACAACAGAGTTGGCGCTGGGGTAACGGGTCCTGGTGTCAACATATCAATATCTATGGGTAAGTGGCCAACCGAATTTCAAGCAGAAATACAGGCAATTATTGAATGTGCTACGGTTTGTTTACGTCGTAATTACAAACATACAAATATATATATTTTCTCTGACAGTCAAGCTGCCCTAAAAGCATTGAGGTCAGTTACATGTTGTTCTAAACTGGTTTGGGAATGCATTCAATACTACAGCAGGTGGCTAAAAATAGTACAGTTAACTTATTTTGGGTACCTGGGCACTGTGGGGTTGAAGGTAATGAAAAGGCAGATTTATTAGCAAGATTGGGATCATCAAAACCATTCCTAGGTCCAGAACCATTTGGTGGGGCCTCAGAATGTACCCTCAAAATGGAACTAAAAAACTGGGAAAAATCGATGATAGATAACATTTGGAAAAACACTAAAATAGCTCGACAGTCCAAAAGATTTATATCACCTAATAAAGGAGCAACTCAAAGACTTCTTAGTCTCTCCAAAAAAGATCTATGTATTTTTAGTGGCCTAGTTACGGGCCACTGTTCAAGTAAATATTATTTAAAACAGCTAGACAAATTGGAAGATGACAAGTGTCGATTCTGCAACCTAGAGAGTGAAAACTCGGAACATTTACTATGTAACTGTGCAGCACTTTTTCATAAAAAGAAAACATTTTTCGATAAGGGTTTAATACAGCCCTCAGAAGTATGGATAACTAATCCCAGTAAGGCAATAAAGTTCATTCGTTCTATAATACCTTACTGGGACAATGCCTATAGTCAGCTAGTGGAAATCACAAATAGTGATACAACACCCTGATGTGGCATACATTAAACCGGGGCCCGCCACAATAGATCAAATAACTGGTCGCAGTGGAAAAATGTACCCAACAAAGGAAAAAAAAAAAAATGTACTCCACATGACATCAACTGATTTCACTTAGTTTTGACTTCGTAGAGGCAGTTTATGAAAATCTTGTCTTCAAGTGCTGTTTAAACTATAAAATAAATGTATCGTGATAAAAAACTTTACTTATCCTGTAATATCCTGTAAAGTCGTGCCTTAGAGATGAACTAGCCTAAGGCTAAAAATCTCTTTAATAAAGAATTAAAAAAAAAAAAAAAAAAAAAAAAAAACTGTAAAGTCGTGTATGAGTCATTATATGTCCATATGTATAGAAGATTATAGCAAAAAATCAGCTGCGATTATTTGCGATCTTTCGAGAAATTGGAAAATGAAGAGGGCGTGTCCATTTAGGTGAATTTATCAAAAAAAAACCCGAATTTATCCACCTATGGTGTGATCAGACCCTTCTTACTTATTCAAGTTTATTTATGTTATTGTCATTATCAGTGACCAAGCCCCCCACCCCCGTGTCATCCAGTGACGCTACGCCACTGCCTGGGGGTACCCGGAATATATCCGGGTGTAGCCTATTTGGTGAGGCTACCAATCATCTTATCATCGTATTTTAATGTGATTTAATGGGTTTTCATTCAATTCATATTCAAGCAACTTCCCCGGGGTACCCGGAACATGTCCAAGTGTGTCCAATGTGGTCTGGAACACTTAACACGACTTGCATTGATCTTATTTTTGAATTCTGTAGTAATTTGATGTGTCGCATGATGGTTTTGATACGTTTTCCGTTAAATCCAGCGTGAAGGCCCATATTCACGGGATCTTATTCCGGCTATATCTCCGGAACCGGTTCACCGATTCCAAAACCGTTCAATAGCGTTCAATGGGACTCCAAGACCTATCATTTGGCGCCGAGTTTGTCCAAATCGGTTGAGCGGTTGCTGAGAAACGTGAGCGCATTCATTTCGTTACATACACACACACATACACACACACACACACACACACACACACACACACACACACACACACACACACACACACACACACATACACACATACACACGTACACACACACACACAGACATGTTCCGATCTCGTCGAGCTGAGTCGAATGGTATATGACACTCGGCCCTCCGGGCCTCGGATCGATAGTCGGTTTTTCAAGTGATATCTATACCCTTCTTTGTAAGAAGGATAAAAAGTACACAAATGTAGTTATTGACATTTTCATTCATTATATGGCAGTCAAGGCGGCAACCTAGGCATTCAAGGCCTTGTTTTGGGTGGGGGAAGTGGGGGTGGGGGTTGGTTGCCTTTCAGGTATATTTTTCTTGTTTCATAATTCCATCAGGTGCGTGTGGATATGGATTCTGATACGAATGTATTCCACAGTTGAGGATAGTTTGTGGGTCCAATGCAAACATAGTTTGGCAAAACTCAACTCCATCTTCTCCTCGCTACTGTCGCCCAATCCGCATTAGGTTTATCAAGGAATCATCTGAGGTAATTTATGAAGAGATTAGATATATTAAAATGCAATTAATTCGCTACGGTCAACACAAGTTACATTAAATGGTAAGCAGTTCACTATTAGACATACTGTTATGCTCACTATGGTTGATGGGAAAGAGTGTAATGCAGCAGCTGAAACGACATCAATGTTATGTATGTGGCGCAAGTTCAAAGGAACTCAATAATTTAACACCAATATTAGGAAAGATTCTCTTAAATTCGGATTATCCATTTTTCATGCCAGGATTCGTTTTTTCGAGAGAATTTTACATCTTACAAGTTGCCGATCAAAAAATGGCGGTTAACTGGCAATGAAAAGCAAATCGTCAAAGGAAGAAAAGAACACATTCAAGACAACTTCAGAAAGAAATAGGGACTCCTTGTGGATTTTCCAAAACCAGGCTTTGGAAATTCGGATGGCAACACTAGTCTAAGATTCTTTGCTGATCCGGAAACCGCTGCTCAAATAACAGGTTTGATTTTGATTTGATCTACCGGCTTAAAGTTATATTGGAGACACTACACACTTAATCTAGCTCGGTAAAATCTCCAACAGCCGATTTCCTCGGCATTTACTTTTGCTGATATATCTGCAAAATATCTGTTTGTTAGCTGACATCGCAGCAAAATGATATTTGTTAGCTGAGTCTTGCCAATTGTTTTACTGGAGCTCAGCAAAATAAATTGCAGAACTACTCGGCTGTTGGAATCTCGGTGAAAAAAATTGAGTGTGTAGCTAGTGGTTTTTAAATTGATACGGAAAAGTTTGAAACATTTACTCAAGAAACAGGGGAAACAAACGTTTGACTGTATCCATGGTATCCGATGACTCCAATTCTGCATAAAATTTTAATCCACTGTTATAGAGCATGCACTGCTACCAATAGGGCAGTTGTCAGAAGAAGCTACACACTTAAATATTTTCGTCGTGATTCCAACAGCCGAGTAATTCTGCAAT